AGTGAGACATTGTAATCAAATATAACTCAATAATGTAGGTATAAGTGAACATGAACTATATCACCACCAATTTTATGAAATTTTATTGGACACAGAGTTAAAGACAGGTAGGGCTCCATTTTCACAATAGTGTAAGCCCATCGAAACAGTGCAAGTAATCTTACTGATCAATGGGGAAAATTATAATTGTTTAATGACCTTTAAAGATTTGACAAAACATTAAATTCTCTGTGGTTTATAAATGCATAAGGAACTGAAAATAGCAAAAGTAATATTTCGTACACTGCAATTTAAAATATTCGCAACACTGCAAATTAAAGGGTGCTTGCCTTCTCCTGGCCACAGAATTTATAAGGAGTGAGCATCTTCTCCGTGCCTTTGTGAATTGTTAGAGTCCTTTCTAAGTTTGGATGAGCTTCCGACCTTTTCCCTTTGCCCTTTCAATGTCATGAAAGGTTTCCTTTCACGTGAAGTTCCTTTACCGTGAAGTTTTACGTCCTCTGCCACCTCCTGTCCTTCCTCACAAATACTTCACCCGTTCTGGTTGATCAATGATTGCCATCAGGGTCATCTGCTTTAAAGGGGTGGCTCAGTTTCCGTTTTTAAAGAAACAGATTTCTGCAAGGGCAATGTACTTCAACGTCTGGTTTTACCTATATCCAAAATGCTTGTCTTGGCTATAGTTACAGTGAAACTTCCACCGATACTCACTTGCAGCCACATTCTCCCTGTGGCAATTTGCAGTAAATGCTACCTGTGAGTTTTGTGGCATAACCCAGGCTGAAGTTCCTCCCTCTCAGCTGGGGGATCGTCCCTCACCTGGGGGTAAGTCCTGATGAACAACCTGGAGAGCAACATGTCAAACCAGCACCGCTGCCTGGAGACGGCTGAGTCACGCCTCGTTGGCAGGTCTCCTGAGTCCCTGCTCCGGCTCTGTGAACCAGCAGCACAGCAAGGGAAATACTAGCAATTATATGGGCGTATTTTATGGATCAGAAAACCCTGAACTTCCTTCTAAAAGTGTTTTTACAGGATCATTTGGTGAAACTCTATTGGATATCCGAGTTATGCACCAAACACCAGAGCTGCAAGGGGCCACCAATAAAATTGTCATCGTTTAACTGATGATGGCCAGACAGGCTGCAAGCTAGCGGGTACAATGCTAGCTCTACGTAACCTCCTCCATCTCCCAGATGGACCCACACTCTCCCCTGTTCATCCTTTTCTTTGCAGTTTCTTTTTCTTTAATAAATACTCCCGAGTTGACAGTGGGCACACGACGTGATCATCCACGTGTGCTGATAAGCACGCAGCCACACCCGCCCCCAATCACTCGCTGTTTAAACGTTTTAAGAATACTCTCATGAGCAAAACACATCCTTATTCTTAATAAGAAAGAAGACGTGGAAATGATCTGAGATCATTAAAATACTCTTTGAGAGTCTTACAGAACATGGTAAACCGCTGGGTAAGCTTGCCCCACAAACACAGCCAACATTGTGAACTGCAAACCTCCCTGCTGTTGTTGCCTCGAGCTGGTTACCTGAGGTTGTCAATGCCACCTGAGTGCATCTTAAGTGTGTGGTGACCTTGCAATAAATACATACAACTAGAATGATATCAAAAAAAAAAGTGCAAAAAAAAAAAAAAAAAGAACAGGTTTCAAAATGAAATGCATCTTAACTCAAGTTTAGAAATTCACATTATTGATATCTGACTTGAGAGAACAAGTTGAAATAAAAAAATGAGGTCATTTCCTGAGAATGTCAGCACATCCGTACCCCGCCCCCCCCACACACCACGTGCACACAGACACAGGTGTTCATGTGGAGAGCCAGGCCTTCTGGACTTGAGTCCCATCTACATCAGGCCCCCTGGGAATTAGTCAGCGAGGACAGGTGCGTGTCCTCTGACACGGTGAAGCTCTATTTGGCTCCTACCATTGCGTCCCTGGAATACATTGTTGCATATCCGTATCTTTAATTTCTCTCTCATTTTTTTTCTTTTTCTTTTAGCACAACAGGTTTAAATTGCTTACATGGATCTGGTCCTCGATGCATCTAGAATCTCAGTGATGTGGGGCCAATACCCTAGGACACTTTTGACTTTGCATTTTCAATTTTATTCATTAAAATTGCTAGGCCAACAGGACAAGATAACGGCCAGCTTCCAAGTAAAAATCTTACATCTAAATTATTTTAAAAATTGCATCACGTATTCCCTTCAGTTTGTCTGTAAGGACATAAAGTTCTTGAGG